ACAAGCATGACGCAATACGCGAACGAATACGAACACAAAGCTGAACAAATCCGAGCGGCAGGCTCCTGGATGATTTATTATCGATAGTGATGCTAACTTCATTACCACCCGAATATGAAAGTTTTACTGTAGCGATCGAATCGCGTAATGAACTACGCTCGTTCGAATACTTAAAAACGAAGTTAAAAGAAGAGGAAAGAAGACAGAATGATCGAGGGGCCAAATCACGCCAAAATAACAAAATATCTGAAGCTCTCGTTACGAAGAACAACAAATCGAAATATAATCAAATACGTACGTATGTTAAAGGAAGAAATGGTACACAAAATAACCAGAGATACAACAAAAACTGTTTTTAGTGTGGCAAATCGGGCCATATAAGTCGTAATTGCCGTTGTAAAATAAATCATAATAATTTCCGTTCGGTGCTGACTTGCAATACTAAATTCGCAAAATCAAGTAATTGGTATTTGGATGAACGAAACATACGTGTAACTCGAAAAACGAATTTTCCATGTTAAAGCAAATGAAGCCAATAAACGTTTATATGGCTGTAGACTATTCTATATATAGAAGCATGTGGTAAGGGAATAGTAGAATTAAATGTCTGTGTAAGTAAAAATAGACCCGCAACAATTGATGTGAAAGACGTTATTTACGTGCCGAAATTAAGAAACAATTTATTGTCCGTTTCCGCTATAACGAATAAAGGCTACGAATCAAGTAAACTTCGGAAGTGAAACGCGCGGACGGTTCAGTTATATTGACAGCAACAAAATATGGACAATTATATAAAGTAAATCTGAATAAATGTCGCGTAATATATGTGAACCGTGAAGATGATAATACTATGAGATGGCACCAGTGTTTAAATATAACTGATTAAAGAAATTATACTCGCGTGAAATGGTCAACGGTATGAATTTACGTTCGAATATATCTGACATTGAGTGTAAGATATTCAATAAAGCAAAAATTTGCCAACAACCATATAAAGAAGTATCTAGAAAGAAAAATTGTCTTTGATGCATTCGAATATTTGTGGTC